ATTTTTTGTGTCCATTTGTTTTTATTACTTTTTATTTCAGTTTTAGTTTTAGTTATTTCAGTACATCAAGATAAACTAAATAAAAATGAGAAATATTGTTTTTGGCAACTAGCTAAAAAAAGAGTTTTAGTTTTATTTTATTTTTAGTTAACTGTAATAACCCTGATGACTACAGCCATTTTTAAAATGAATTTAGCCTCAGATAGTAATTTCCACACTATAAAATATTTTAGCACTTGATATCACTAGAAAGATTTATATTCATTATAAACATTTCTCTACCTTTTCCATGTCTAGAAACCACACTTTTAAAATGTCCTCATTTATAACAAGTTTGAAATAAAATTACAGATGTTGAGGGCAGAAATTATAATAAGAAACATGATGTCAGCTTACTTCTTGATTTTTTTTTACCTTATTTTTAGGCCCCCTAGTGGTTGAGAACCACTGATTTAGAGAGATAAAATATTTTGATATTATATTAAAGTCCTCAGGGCTTAGTTTGGGTTTTCTAATATAACTGACTACACTACATCAAACACACTTGTACATGCATTTGTTAGATACAATGCTATTAGATGTTTTTCATGGCTCTTTTTCATGGAATACTTGATTCTGATTGGTCATTTGCTACATTCTACAGACTCACATTTTTGTATAACAATAAACTAAACATCTGGCCATAGTCCCTGGCAACCAATATCGGTGCTAGTTTCACATCTCATATCATTCTCACATAATAAATGATTCATATATTTATGTATTTATTTATTTAAATAGCAAGAGTGTTCAAATGCTTCACAATGGCATTGCAATCATCCTGACGAGATTTATTTTGCGATAATGACCATCTGAATAACCATTATCTCTCACTACTGTATGTGCAAGCAACAAGTGTAATTCGTGTGGATTTCATAAACTTTTAAGGAGTGTAGAAAAGATGGTGTAACATCTGCGACAGTAACGGCAATATAAAAAATAGCCATATGCTGGCTCAACAAATTGATTTCACAACCATATTTACATTTTTCCTCTTTTTTACAGGGAACTGAAAGTAGCTCTGAAAGCTCCTACCACTCCAGATGTTTCCAGCTATCTGACAGTGAGGCACATATACACACGTCATAGAGTTAAATGCTATTCCTCTTGAGTATCTTTGCCTTTTCTATCAAAATAAAATAATGTAAAATGTATATTAAGACATAGGAACATAAATCAAGTACTAGAGTTTTACATTTTCTGAAGAACCAGCGAGTGATGCTACATTTAATTAAATTAAAGGTCACAGACATGATTATGGGGTGTTGTGGGTGTGTTGCTAAGGAGGTCTGAGTGTTTTTTTTTCAGTGTGTTATTTTTTTTTTGGTTGCTAGAATAATAGTTTCTTGGTAAATATAAGAAGGATGAGTTCTATGACTAAATGTAATTATGGTTAGGGGGTTGATCAAATTCTAACCAAAAATATGGGCAAATATCAAAAGTAATGCATATTTTATTTTCGTTTTCTCATTCGTCTCAACCTCACTCAATGTGTGTGCCACTGAAACAAGACATAAGACTCTTACCAGTACAATACATGAAAACTTACTCTGTAGCACAAAAGCACAGATCTTCATCAACTGCTCTTCTGAAGGTGCTTTGCCCTGTAACACAGTGTGTCATATTTGGACAAGACCATCATCACTATCATGCATGCCTTATAAATGCTCATAAGTATCACACTCACTGGTTTCCCTGGGTAACCTGGAAGTCCTGGTTGCCCTGGTAACCCATCTAGTCCTGGAAAGCCTTGAGATCCAGGTGGCCCTGATGGACTCATATCTCCCTTTTTCCCATCAGCCCCTCTGCTCCCAGGCTCCCCTGCTACACCTGGCTGAAAAGGAGTGGGGAGAACAGTTCACTTCAGTGTCATCACTGTTACATAATGAAGTCAAGAAATCCAACTTTTTTTCAGTTTTTGTGCATATTTGATTATTTGAGTAATGTAAGAAAAGGTGTTTTTATTTGTGATGGAGTTGCAAACAAGATCCCAGAATGCTGAGAGACACTGCATATGTTTGGTTCAAAACATCGTAGCTTTAGTCCCTTGCTAAGAAACCAAAAGACCTCTTGATTCTGACTCATCAGGAAATGGTTGTGAGACATTGAACAGTAGGCAGTCATTTCAAGGGTTGTTATGTACCTCTCCTTTGTTTCCTTTGAGCCCCGGTTCACC